CCGCCTCAAAAAAAAAAAAAAAACCAAAAAAAACAAACACCTCTAATGTGACCTTACTTGGAAGGGTCTCTCCAGATGTGTTACATCAGGATCTCGGGTGAGGGTCTTGGCTCACCCCGGCAGCCCTCAATCCAATACCCAGGGTCCCCACAAGAGGGAAGCAGGGAGAAGGAAGACACGGAGGCCACAGCCAAGGGCGCAGGGCCTGGGAGGCAGGATGGGGCCTTCCCAGGCCTCCGGAGGTAGTGCCCCTCATGCCCTCCCCTTTGGTTTCCAACTTCGCCCCTCCAGACTGAGAAACTGGCGGCTGGCTGTGTACACCTGTCTGTGGTGCAGCCCCAGGACATGCCGGCGTCAAGGACTGCAAGGCAGGCGCATGCAGCAAGGCTGTTCTAGAGAAACCAGACAGCTGCTCTAGGAACGGGGCAGGTCCAGCCTCCCTCAAGGAACCACTTGTCACCTAAGGGGCACCGTCACCTGTCCCCCACGCCAGACCTCTGCATGGCGGGAGGAACATGACGGGGCAGGAGGCCGGGCGGGCCTGCTCGTGGCCTTGCAGCTGCGTGGCTGTGGGCCAGTCACACAGTCTCTCTGTGCTCGTGGTCTTTTCTATAAAATGAGTCCTCACTGGGTCAACCCTGGGCCCACACGACCCAGCAGAGCTGAGACGCCAGCGGCCCAGGAAGGCTGGGGCGAGGCCTGGCTGGCCACTCCCGGGCCTCTGGGCAGCCCAGACTTGTGAAGCTCTGGACAAGCTGGACCTGGTCTCCCTCAGACTCCGTGTCCCAGGAACAAGAGGAGGCCCAGAGCCTGTGGACTGCAGAAGGGGGGGCGCCTGGCCCTGCCCGGAGGAATGTCTCCTTAGGAGACAGGTGTGTTTGGGGCCAAAGCTGCAGGGCGCCCTGGGAGGCAAAACCTTATGGGGACGGCCTGCTGGCGGTACCTGATGACTGTGGTGGGGGAATCATCGCAGCCTGAAGGGAGAGAAAGGCACCGTGAGACTCGCGGCCTGGTGGCAGCTCCCATGACCCGCGGACACTCCGCCCGGTCGACACGGGGTACTTACAGCTTCACCAGGCTGCAGGGCCGGGGCTGCAGGGGAAAGAGTGGCTGTCAGCCGGGAGGCGAGTGACCACCTCAGGCCCGGGTGGGGTCCCCAGACTGGCAGGGTCTCTTGCTGGGCTGCAGGCTCAGCCAGTCCCACCTCCACACCTTGGCCCCCAGGTCTCAGCCTGCCATCCGCCCTGCCCCGTTCTTGCTGTGCTAGGGGCGGGACCACCCACACTCCCAGGCAAGGCACCCTCCCAGACCCTACCTTCCCACCTCAGCAGCTGACAAGCCCCTCTCTTAGAAAGTGGGAGGAAGGATACCAGGGGGTGCCTCGGGCAAGAGGGCCTTCAGCAGGCCAGACAACCTCCAGGGCCTGGGTGCACCTCCACTGGGGTTGCCAGCCTGGATTCTCTGTCCAGTGGCCCCCCGGGTTGACCAAGGGGCGCGGGAAGGTAGAGACGTGGAGCGGGCAGGGGAGTATGCGCCAGGGACTCCCAGACACAGCTGGACTCTCCTGGAAGCTGACTCCTGACTGGAGGCCAGGCTCCAGAATGAGTGGTGAGGGACCCAGCCTTTGACTCGCAGGACCTGCTGACTACAACAGACCCAAGGACTGGGGGTGGGCGCATGGGGGTCTCACGATGGCCAAGCGAGGCCATCTCAAGACCCGCCAGGAGGCAGTGGCCCGGTGCCCACCACACCTCGACTACTTTGTCTACCAAGGGGTCGGGTCTGCTGGTCGGACCACCTGCTTGGCAAGAGCCCAGTGAGAGCCAGGCCCTGGGTGCAGTGAACGTGGACACAGAGTGGACCCTGCTCAAACGTGCCACACCGGGCAGCACAGCAGTAGGGATGGCACTCTCTGGTGGGAGGTGGAGCCAGGGGCCCAGAAGGGACAGAGTATGGGGCGTGGGGTGTGGGGGCCCTGCACCAGCCTGGCCTCCCTTTACCCCTGGAGAGGGGAGGGAGACGGCACGGCTGCCTGGGTGCTGCAGCGTCTGAGTGGGGAGGATCCCGGTTCCACGCCACTAGGTGCCTCGTGGTGGTCCTGCTAGGACTGAGAGGATGCCCTAGCCTGGAGACGGGGCACCGGGAGACCCCCAGGAGGCCCAGTGGCGTCGAGGTACACCAGCATCCTTTACACCCACTGGGGTGTTTCCAGGAAGCGACTGCTCTTTGCGCGCAAGAGTCAGTCACGTGACACAAGCCAGTTCCCATCCCAGCCTCCTTGCAAGTCTGCTGTGGGCCCAACACCACCACAGGCTCACGACCACGCAGGGGTCCCGTGTCCTCCCGGGGGCATTGCTGGTCAGGGCAATACCTTTGCTTCTTCCATAGAAGACCCTGGGGCGCTTGCTGGCGCGTTTAAGGTAGAAGAACCCAGCCACGGACAGGATGAGGCCTGAGCTGACGACGAACGTCCCCAGGAAGAGGGAGGCTGCCACGTGAGGGCCCCCTGCAAGCAAGCCAGCGGCTGAGGGCTGGGGGTGGGGCCAGCGCTGCCCCGAGTCTCCCAGGGCTGGCCGCAGGGGAAGCCAAGGATGCTGCTCTCGGCCCGGGTCGTCCGCAGGCTCAGCCACACCCGTACGTCTGGCCACGGGGCCAAACTTCACACGGGAGCTGGGACACAGTGTCAGAGGGGCTGACCCGACCAGGCTCCGAGGAGCCGTCTCGCCGCTTCCAGGCCCCAAAGCATCGGTCCTGGGCTCCCAAGTCTGGCTCCTTCCAGGACAGCCCAAGACCGTGGGCCGTGCTCTGTGGCACGCAGGGCAGAGTCTCAGCCTGGCAGCCGGTACCACTGCCTCTGGAACGCCTGTCGTCACCTCTCATCTTCACCTGCAGGGCCAGACGGGCTGGGGGTCTACTGGACGGCCAGGGACAGGGAGGTGGTGACTTTCTGACCCTGAGGCACAGGTGCATTTGCAGACCTGGGGGCCTTGCTCCATCTGTGGCCAGCTTAGAGCCACAGGAGGCCAGGGACCCAGCTAAGCAGACCCACCCTAAAATGTCACTGCTCTGTGCAACCAGCCTCAGGGTCCCAGTCAGCTTTGGGCCCAGGCCAGCTTGGAACCTGAGTTCTGACCAGGTGAGGGTCTGGCCCTCTCAGACCGGAGCCCTTGGCCTGACACCAGGTCCAGCACATCCTCTGCTGAGGGACGACGATCCGGGGCAACGTGAACCCGGAGACCCTCACCCAGCAGAGGCAGCCGTGCCCCCGGCTGGACTCGAGGTCTGGGCACCACTCCCTTGAGCGTGGCCACACCCTCGGCCCCAGCCCTTACCCAGCCACGCCCCCCGGTTCCAGCACCACACCCCTTGCCAGCCACAGCCACTTGCCTTGCCACGCCCCTTGCCCAGCTGTCCACAACTCAGGTAGGATCATCTACCCAGGAGAGGGGTCTGTGTCCCTTCCTGAGGACCAGGCATGATGGCCCCAGGCACTTCTGCTCAGTGTGTGTGTGTGCAAACAGTCTCCTTGAGCCTTACACCCTGGAAGAGCCACGTGGGGCCGCTTCCAGGACCTCAGAGAAGCGTCTCGTGCTGGTTTCTGTGGACCGAGGCCTCAGGTGGAGGGGGCTTGGAGCGGGGCAGAGGCAGAACCAAGCAGTGCTTAGTGTGGACCTGACAGCGTGAGGTATGCCCTGAGGTCTTCCACCAGCAGCAGCCCTTTAGACAAGGCACTGTGTTGGACCAGCGACGTCCCCAATGCATACCCCCATGAGCCAACTGACCCCAGCCCCAGTGACTACTGCACTCTGCTCTGATCCTGTGCCATAAGCAGGGCCCCTGAGGTGACCGGTACCCATGGAGAGCCTCTGCACTGGCAGCCCTCTAACAATTACCCCACCCAGGATCCCAGCAGGGGATGGCTCTGGCCTGGTGAGAGACTTACCAAAATGCGGCCGTCCAGGGGTCCCTGCACTCCTGTTCATGGGGAATGGCGTGCCCCGGCCAGTGACTGCGAGAGAGTGGAACTGTGGGAAGGCCCAGCCATGCAAGGACTCCCCGAGGACCCCCACCCTGAGGGGCATCTCAGGCCGAAAATGCAAAAGCAAGTGGCCGTGGGAAAGCAGCCCCCAGCCACTGCTATGATGCAGGACATGGGCAGAGAGGGCCCCTGGTGTCCACCCGTCAGGCTGTGGCTCCGGCTAGGGTGGCTCCTGTGCCGTGGGGACCAGAACAGCGACGCCCACCGCCTCTCCCCAAGCTGGACTGTGGCCTGTGGTGAGGACACGGAGGTGGGGGAGGGACACATACGGCTTCGGCACTCAGAGCCATTGTAGGCCGGGAGGGTCCCATTCCTGCAGCGGACACAGCTGGCGCTCCCATCGGCATTCCAGCGCCGGTAGCAGCCTGTGTGGGGACAGGACAGCGTCTGCACGTCAGTGCCGTCTCCGGGGACTTCCTCTAGCTTTCATTCACGGACACTAGCACACGCTGAAGCAGGAGGAATGACAGGCTCCCACCCAGACGGGCACTGAGGACACATGGCGAGCCCCACACACCGGGGTCCGCCTGTCCCACAGGCCCTGCCCCTGTGCTACACAACTCAGAGAGCAAGCAGGGAGGCCGGCACTGGAGTGCAGGGCAGAGGTGCCTTGTGGAGGGCCCTGCGCTCCGAAGGCCAAAGGCCAGGCCTCCACCCCGCCCGAGGCCTCGTCCGCCTGGGCTCTCCCAGGACCACTCCCTGTAGGGCCCAGCACCACTGCCTGGCACACTGGGCACCCCTCCCTCGGCCCCCGGCAGGACAGGCCTTCTGGTCAGTACTGCCTCGGCCCAGGCTCGAGCCTTGGTCTGTGGCCCCTGCACACTTGCCCTCCCTGGCACCTCTCCCGGGGACTCCCTGCAGGACCAGCCTCATGTCCATCCCAGGCTGACAGGCCTTGGGCACCTGGTCCCCACGAGCAGTCCCTCTGGGCTCACAGTGTCCTTCCTTGGTGGGTGGGATGGGCCCCAGGACGGGACAGTCCGAGCTGCCCAGCCCCAAGTCCACTGAAGCCCCACAGGAACCCTCTGTTCCTGGGGACTGGCCCAGAGAGGGTGTTTGCTCATTCCTGTCCACCCCTCCCCCACCACCCCAACCAGCCTCCCACCAGCCCTGACCTCAAGACCGTTCTACTTGCCCAGCCGCCGAGAACCTTCCAGACCCTCTGTGGAGGGGGGGGTCTCCCTCCATGCCAACACTGGGCCAAGGGTCCTTTGCAGAGGGGTGTCCTGTGCACTCAGGTGTCCTGTGCACCTGACTCCCCCACCAGGTGATGTTTCCACATGTGCCCAAGGTCCCAAGTTAAGAAGCTCCCATGAGGATGGCTGAATTCACAGGCTACTTCCCCGTCACCCCCACACCCTGTCCCCCAGCTGTCCCTGTCTCCTCCATCTGCCATGTCTCCCCAGATGACCCTATCTCCCCCCGCACCATCTCCCCAGCCGCCCATCTACCCGTCTCCTCCTATCTTCCCCTCCTCCCCTCCTCCCAGCTGCCCCTGTCGCCCCCCCATCTCCCCATCTCCCCCATCTCCCCCCACTGACTCCGTCCACTCCTGCTCCAGCCCAAGCTCTGCAGCATGTGTACATGGCTGTCCTCACCCTGAGGAGGAAGAGACGCAGACATACACACGCCAGCAGCCCAGTGGCTGGCCCGGGGTCTGCTTGTGACAAGGCGGCTTACCTGGACCACACAGGCTTGTGCCTGGGCAGGTGGCATTGGCGTCCACCATGTCCACACAGCACTCGGGCTGCTGGGCCTGGAGGGGAGATGGCAGTCAGACTTCGGGGCACACCTGGCCAGGCAGGCTCACGGCCAGGTGCACTGGCCAAGGGGCGCCTTGCAAGCGTGCCTTGATGCCACGGCTCAGAGTTCCTCTGGAGATGGCATCGAGGGCCCTCTGTCCCCTGCCGGCTCAGGAGCAAGGTGAGGCCCAAGGGCTGGCTAGAGCTGTGGCTCTCAAGGCCAGATGTGACCAGAGCCCGGGTTGCAGGCAGCCTGGCACATGGGGTTCAGGCCACATGACCCAAATGGGGGCCCTCTCGACAGTCTCCGGCACGCCGTTGCCCTGTTCCCGAACGCAGGCGGCGAGACCCAGAACGTGGTGTTGGCCCCGCAAGGCAGGTTGCCTGCACCCGAGGAGAGGGACGTCCCGAAGACCTCCCTCCCCTACACCCCTGCCCCTCACTCCTCCTGGACTCAGGGACCACGGGCCTCCCTGCTTCTCTGGGTCTGTTTCCTCCCAGAGCTCCTTCCATTAAACATGCTTTGGTCTCGTGACACATCACTGCACAGGTACCTCGGCCCTGAGCCCTGGGCAGGGCTCTGCGCCACGGGGCCTCCCCTCCCCTAAGACCTGCCCAGGCGGTGAGGGCTTGTTCCACATGGGTCTCTGGCCACCCCTTTCAGCTCATGGGCCACAGGCGGACATGGGGTGCGGATGGGGGGTTCAAGCAATGAAATTATTTACATTAGCCTCCTACTAAAACTTTAAAGCTGCTAAGCTCTACCACAGGGATGGTTCTGCAGACTTCTTCGTGGGGAAAGGAATCAGGCTCTTCTGGACTAGGGTGAAGCGTGAGACACCAGCTGGGACCTCCTGGTGAGGACAGGGAGGGCTGGTACCCAGTGTCTGCACTGCACCGCAGAAACGTCTGCCCATAGGCTGGGATGGCTTCACCGACAAGCTCTGTGATCCCTGGATGCCCCTACCTTGGGGGTTTCCAGCATGGCCAGGATTTCAGGGGGTGAACGTAAGCCCACACACTTATACACCTGCACGTGTACGTGCTGGGCACATGCCCCGAGTACTGGTGTTTCCAGCCCATGCCACAGCGTAGACTGTACCGGCCTGGGGGCTCCAGGTGACCTCAGCTCGTGTGTCTGTCACAGCTGGGGTGTCGTTTCTCGCAACCTGAATGTGGTGAATATGGAGGGCGTCTGGGGTGACTGAGGAGTGCGGTGGGGGGGAGCATCCATGCCACCAAGAAAGGGCCTGAGCCCAGGGTACAGTCCAGTCCCTCACGCCAGCCTTGGCCAAGCCAGTGAGGGAGTCCCGCCCTTCCTGCTCACTTCCATGCACCCTGCCTCAGAGCCTGGAGCGGCTGCCATCAGTTCTCCCAGACACCAAAGCTCAGCTCACTCTCCCAATGGCAGCCAGGATGCCAGTTGCGGGGACCCGCCGGGCAGCCACGCTCCTGAGCAGATGGCAACCGGGCAGGCAGCTCAGGGCTCTGGTCAGTTCCAGTGGGGGAAGCTCTGTAGAGACCCTATTTCAGCAACAGGTCCAGTTTGACAAACACAGAAACTTTTAGAGGGCAGAACAGAACAAGTGCCAAGCAGCAGGGGTTGTGTGTTTGCTGCTCTCTGCAAGGCACAGACAGACCCTCTGACCCCAAGAGCATCTCTGGGGCTGGACCATCAGGGACTGGGACTCCTAAAGACCCACGTGTCAGGCCCCTCTAGGGAAAGGGCCCACTGTCCGCCACGGAGGTGTTAGCTTGACTTCTTGGTGTCAGTTGCAGGGACATGTGACAGGGCACCTACCATGCTCTCCGTGGACTTGCTGGCGACTCCCACCAGAAGACCAGCCAGGATGGTGAGGTGCTGCAGTGCCATGCCCAGAGCATGAAGAACAAAAGACCTGCAACGGGGGGGAGGTGGGTCTGAGAGGGAGGGTGAGGCCCGTTAACAGGAGAAAGGCAGGGCCTGTAACCGTGGGAGGGCAGAGGAGGGGTCTGCAACAGAAGAGAGAGCGGGGCCTTTAGCAGGGAGGAAGGCGGGGCCCCCCGCAGAAGGGGAAGCCTGTAACAGAGGGGAGGGTGGGGCCCGGCCGACCGAAGGAAGGACAGGGCCCGTCCCAGGGAGGCGGGGCCTACGGTGGGGCGGAGCACGTTGTGCAGAAGCCGACTGGGCCTTTCCTGGCAGTGGGCAGACAGGGGCGGGGCCTTACCTGCCCCTCCTAGATACAGGTCACAGACATCAGTTGCTTGCCAACTCTGGTGGTCGGTGATCAGTGCAGCCAGAAGCTCGAGGCCCACACAGAGCCCTGCAGACCCGCATCCAAAGCCTGCAGGTCAAGGCAGTGGGTGAGGCCTCCGTGGTCACTGGCCTGGGTGCAGGTCCCTGCGGACTCCCGGACAGCCCAGGGTCAGGCTGAGGAACCACAGCCCCCTGGACTCTGGCCACCCACCCTGTGCTGGCAGCTCGGGGTTATTTGGGCAGCAGGGTGCTTTCTGACAACCTCGCTGTCCAGGCTCAGCAGAACCCTAGTGGCAGAAGCCACGCATCCCTCTATCATCTCACGAGTGGTGGATGTGCAGTCCATCTTACGAAAACCTGAACTCGTTAGTGAGCATTTTCACCAGGGACAGCTTCCAGTGAGGAGTCGAGGGGGCCCACAGGTGCACAGACCCTGAGGATCTGGCCCTAGGATCTGCTTCCCCACAGAAGGCGGCAAGAGATGCCAGCTCGGGTGAGAAATGCACCCAGAGCCCTGTCCTGAACAACGCCAGGGTGTGACAGCCGGTAGCAGGTCACAGACACAGAAAGCAAACATGTTGCAGCAAGACTTCTTAACACTACAACCACTTGAGAGTTCGTGGGACTTATGCTGAGGCCACCACAGTCCTGACAGGAAGAACAGGCACCACAAGCACACATCCCTGGAAGGGATGACGTCAGCCACGTTTTTAACAGATTTCGGTTAGCTCACACGGTGGTCCTCACGACCGCCCTCCGTCCTGAGCTTAAGGCTCCGTGCCTGTGAGACTTTCGCAGGGGACTCCTGGCCTGGCAAGACACTGCAGGGGTCCCTGGCCCTGGCGGACGTGCCGCTTCGCTCCACCTCCGGGATCCTCAGAAAAACGCACAGCGGGCGCATCAGTGTGGGCAGGGGAGGGTCTGCGCTCTGACTCCGGGCGCTGGGCGGCATCGCACCTGGGGCGTCCCAGGAGACAGATGTGTCGTGGGCCGCAGGACGAGGTGGACGCAGCTCGAGCCCCTCAGCAGGGAGGGGCCTGCTCTGCAATGCCCTAACTGGAAGCCAAAGTGACAGTCAGTGGACCATGCCAGTATCAGTGCCAAGGCCTGGGGAGGAGCAGTCGCCTCTGAAGCTCCCCTAAGCACCCTTCCTGCCCCTGGTGACATTTGCCGTCTCTCTTCTTTTTTTGTGTTTGGAGACAGAATCCCACTCTGTCCCAAGCTGGAGGGCAGTGGTGCAGTCGCCGCTTACTGCAGCTCGGACCTCCTGGGCTCAGGCGATCCTCCCACTTAGCCTCCCGGGCAGCTGGAACTACAGGCATGAGCCACCACACCTGGCTAATTTTTTTTGACTATGTTGGTAGAGACAAAGTCTTGCTATGTTGCCCAGGCTGGCCTCAAAGTGCTGGGATTACAGTCAGGAGCTACCATGCCCAGCCAACAGCTTCAGTCATCCACTCCACTGAAATGCTTGCTCTCCCTGGGTTCACTCCTCGCTACAATGTGAAATCCTTTCAGACAGAGGCATGCTGAAGTCACAGACACATTGCACACCTCACTACAGGATGTGACCGTCTTTGCGTTTAGTCCTTTTGACACGTGCTCAATGGAGACTGCCTTCCTCTGCCCCTGGAAAACTCCAGACATCTTGAACCCCTCCTCATTCCCTGGCAAGAGGCATCCCCAGGGCCACATCAAGTCACAAAACACCGTTTCCATTCAGAAATCAAAACCCAAGATTCCATTCAACATTTAGTCAACTTTATTGAGGTATAATTTACGTACAGTAAACCCCATCCATTCAAAGGACACAACTCAAACTCTGCACACGTGATGCTGCCTAAAACCAGGACAGGGCGCCTCCCCCTGTGTAGGTGCTTAGCCCCTGGCCACAGCATCCACAAGTTGACTGTGTCACTGCACATCAGTCTGTACCTTCTAGTCTCCCACAGATGGACCATGCACCTGCACATGCTATCTGGACCCTTTCACTCAGGACAGTGACTGTCAGATTCACCTCTGTGGTCTTATTCACGCTTTGCTCCTCTGTGGTGAGTAACAGAGTACCACATGGTCACACACCACTTCCTCTGCTGCTCACCTGCTGGTGGTCAGGGGGCTGCTTCTAGTTCTGAAGGCTGTGGAGAGAACTGCTATCAATGCCCTTGCAACAGGATTCTGTTTCTCTTGGGGAGATGCCCAGGAGTGGCAAGGCTGGACTGCAGGAAGGGGTGTGTTTGACTTCCTGAGAAACTGCCACCTGTTTCCCACAGCGGCTGTAACACATGTGCAGCAGCATGGGAGAGCTCAGAGGCCCTCCTCTCGTTAACCCTGATACTAATGATGTGCAACAGGTCGCGGTGCTGTCATGGTCTCAGTACCAACAGGATGCAACAGGGTCTCAGTGCTGTCACAGCATCAGCACCAATGGGGTGCAACAAGGTCTCAGTGCTGTCAAGACCTCAGTACTAACAGGTGCCAGAGGGTCTCAGTGCTGTCGTGATCTGCGTTTTCCTGAGGTCCAGTGGTTGGCATCGGCTCATGTGTGTATTAGCCATTTGCAGATCTTCCTTTGGGAGGTGTGTGTTTGCACTGTGCCCATTCTGTCTAATCGGGTGGTCTTCCTACTACTGAGCTGTGACAATACTGTGTACATTCTTCATCAGGTACACCGATGGCAAATCTTCTCTCCCACTGTCTGGTTGGCTTTCCACTTTCTTATGGGAATCTTGAGAAGGGCAAATGTTTTCACTTTTAAGTAACTATTTTATAAAATTAAAACACTGTTTTTCCTCTGCCTTGACCGCAAGGTCACTAGGATTTCCTGTCTTCATCCAGAATGTTAGTTTTAGCTTCCACATTTTGAGTTCCCTTTGCATTTGGTGTGAAGGTCAAGGGTCACTTTTTCCCTTATGCATATCCAGTTGATCTGGCACCATTTGTTAAAAACACTTTTCTCTCCACAGTGCATTGTCAATACCTTGTTGAAAATCGACTGACTGCCGGGCTCGGTGGCTCAGCCTGTAATCCCACGCCTTTGAGAGGCTGAGGTGAGTGGATTGCCTGAGCCCGCAGGTTCGAGACCCACCTGGGCAGCGAGACCTCATCTCTACAATAAATCAAAAAACCAGCCGGGCGTGGTAGCACATGCCTGTAATTCCTGCTACTTGGAAGGCTGAGGCGGAAGGATCGCCGGAGCCCAGCAGGTCGAGGCTGCGGTGGCCGGAAGTGGCCACTGCACTCCAGTCTGGGCGACAGAGTGAGACTCCAATTCAAAAAAAAAGAAAATCGACTGACTGTAGGTGTGTGGGACTATTTCTGGACTTTCTATTCTGTTCCCTTCTCCTAGGTGTCTACTCTGCACTAACACCACAGTGACTTGATTACTGAAGCTGACAGGTTTGAAATCAGGTCATCTAAGCTGTGCTTTCCTCAGCTAATTTGGCAATTCCAGGTCATATGCATTTTCATATTTCAGTGTCATCTTGTCAGTTTCCATCAAAAAGCCTGCTGGAATTTTGACTGGGAGAAGTGACATTTTAACAATACCGAGTTTTTCTGTTTCTTCAGTCTCCTTTAACTTCTCTCAGAGTATTCTATGGTTTACAATGAAAAGGTCTTGCATATCTTTTGTTAAAACTTATCTTACTTTTGTTATTGCGAATAGAATGAATTTCTGATTTCATTTTTCAACAGTTTGCTACCACTATATTAACAGCACAATTAACTTTTGCACAGGGACCTTGATTCCCGAAGTCTGCTCAGCAGCTCTGGCAGCGTTCTGCAGCTTTCTTGGGGTCCTCTATGTAGGAATCCTGCCACTGGCGAAGAATACAGTTTTACTTCTTCCTTTCCGATCCTTGTTTCCTCCATTACCACAGTGGCTGGGACTTCCAGGAAAATGGAGAGCATGTAGTGTCCTTGATCCTGATTTTAGGGATAAAGTGTTTCATATTTCACCATTAAGTGCAAGGTCTGGTGTCGATTGTTCACAGATGCCTTTTATCAAACTGGGGGAGTTTCCCTCTATTCCTAGTTTGCTGAGTTTTTTTTTTTTTAATGCTCTTAAATGCTTCTTCTGCGTCTACTAGAGCAATCATACTTTTTTCTCCTTTATGCTAATGATATTGTGATTATACTGATTGACTCACAACTGTCAAAAACAACTTTGCACTTGTCCGGTTGTGGTATACAATCCCTTTAACCTACTGCTGGATTTGATTTGCCAACAGCCTAGGGACTTTTGCCTGTGTTCATGAAGGACAGTGGCTTATAATTTATTTTTAGGTATCTTTGTCAGGTTTTGGTATCAAGTTACATTGTCTCATAAAACACACTGGGAAAGATCCCCTCCTCTTTAATTCTCTGAAAGAAGTTTATGTGAGATTAGTGTTATTTCTTAGAATGTCTGACAGAATTCACTAGGGGAGCCAGGTGTGGTGGCTCCCAGCTCCTCAGGAGGCTGAGGTGGGAGGATCACTTGAGGACAGAAGGCACAGTGAGCTGTGATCACACCACTGAACTCTAGCCTGGGTGACAGAGTTAAAAAATTTTAAAAAAAGAAAAAAGGAATTCACTAGGGGAAGATGGAAAGAGTTCTGGAGATAAATGACGTGAAGGCTGCACAATGCGGATGTACTCAATGCCACAGAAGTTATACTTAAAAATGATTAAAAAGGTAAAATTTATGCGGGGTATATTTTATAATAAAATAAAAACAAAATTAGATAATGCATATAAAGTGTTCAATCAATGGTAGTTATTAAAGTTATTTTAAAAAGCAAGAGTGTCAGGTTGGATAAAATGGAAGACCTGGTAATGTGATTTTCACAAGAAACAAGCCTGAAACATAAAGACAAAGACAGATTGAAAGAGCGGATGGAGAGCCAGGCTCGGTGGCTCAGCCTGTCATCCCGTGCCTTTGGGAGGCTGAGGTGAGTGGATTGCCTGAGCCCGCGGGTTCGAGACCCACCTGGGCAGTGAGATCTCATCTCTACAATAAATCAAAAAATCAGCCGGGCGTGGTAGCACATG